TTTTTGAAATTATTTGGAACTATATGTGAAAAAAAAAAAAAAAACAATATTTTAAATATATATATATATATATATATATATATATATATATATATATATATATATATATATATATAAAGTATATAATTGGTATATACGGAATGAATTCCAATAACCAACAATTACTATTCTTAAAAGAGTGCTCAATACAAATATAGAGCATATATAATTATTTTTTATAAAAAAATTATAACATAAGTATGTTATAAAATCACTACAAAAATAGCCATTTTGTTTCAACACACTCTGTGTCTTATCAAGTGATGATGTTGAAAATAAAATAAATGGTTTTAAAAGTTTCAGATTAATTAACGATCCTACACTAGGGGGAAACATTGTTACAAAAGCTAGAATAACCAATCAAAAACGAAGTATAGAAAGATTCAAAAGCTTGACAACGAAATCATGTTATAATAGCTATTCAGATCTTTAAATACGTGTAATATTAAAAAAAATAATTTATACTAACTAATAATTATAAAATTATATGATAAAATTTAATATTAAAATTAAAAACTGGCAATTTTAAAATCCAAATTTAATCACTATTAAGTTTAAAAACTACAAAATTATTGAGAAAAAAAAAAATATATATGTTTATTCAATTCATTTCTTCATTGAAATTACGTTCGACAAGACGCTACAATATATCCGGTCATTTGACAATACATGTATATATTTTTTTTTTCCCTTTCATTTCCGTTTTATTTTAAAGTTTGTGAATGTGGTCTTAAACTCACGCGTCAAAACAACAAAAACACAATCAGATTATAATACATAAGCACCCAGACATAATTAGATACACACACACACACACACACACACACACACAAAAAAAGGACGAGTGGGGGAATACATGAACATCTCTACAAAAAAAAAAAAAATGAAAAAAAAAAATATGAACAAAGCCCTTTAACATATAACACACACAAACAGTGAATATACTCTACATACACATAGACACCGATAGATACACATACATACATCCACAGACAATGACATAGACAATGAGAAATCACAACCAATAAATATTTCAGACTTATTAAATAAATGCTAACCACTTATTAAATTATAACTTAAGGGAGCAAATATACAAAGATAAAAATGGTTAAAAAATAATATTATTTAATATATTAAAACGAAAATTCTAAAACCATAAATATCAATAAAAATATATATTATTATTAATATAAGTTGATAATAGTTTCATTATATATTAGGCAATAAAGAAAAACATATATAATAAAATATATACACATATATATATATATATATATATATATACACACAACAAAAACAAAAAAAAACACATAAATATACATATCATATATATACATATACATACAGAAATACATACAAATAAATATATAAACATAAACATATATACATATACATATCTATGATAACAAGTACACATGCACACATATATATATATAAACCTAAATACACACACATATATACACACATAACTTTTATGCACACATACTTACATATATAAAAACAGTCATGATATACCAAAGTTTCCATACCCACATACACACAAACAAACTCATACATAATAGGTGATAAACACACACACATATATATATACACACATAAACATACATAATATATATACACACATACATACATATCTACAAATATATATATATATATAAATATATCTATCTACAATAACAACTACCAATATATACATGCATACATAAAAAATACAACAAGATTCAACCAAATACATATATAAACGATACTAACATATAGATACATAAATATACCTTCAAATACCAACACACACCAATATACATATAGTCTAACATACAAAATATATAAACACATTCATACAAACAGAAATATACTTAAATATAAATATACATACACAATAAAATAGGACATACAGATATATATATATATGCACACATATATATATATATATATACATACATACACACACACACACACACACACACATATATATATATACAAATATATAGTGGCATAAAGCCGAAATTAGGGGCACCCAGTGAGGAACTAACTCATTACTCAGTCACTAAACCCAATCTAATCTATATGAACCATGCTGGCCAACCATTATACTAATGATTTTATCATATATATATATACATATTTATATATACATACACATACATACATATACACACATTATATATATATATATATGCATAAATATATATATATATACACATATAAGACACATACACACATATATATATATATATATATATATATATATATATATATATATATATATATATATATATATATATATATATATATATATATACACATTATATACACACACTATACATATATATATAGATACATACATACACATATACAGCAACAATTATTAACCTATTCTCTTATAATCTACCATACCTTCACATAATATATATATATATATATATATATATATATATATATATATATATATATATATATATATATATATTTATACAGATGAATTCTGTGGACAAGACAGATTGGTATCAAATGACAAAAACAAAAAAAAATCTTAGATTTTGCCGACGCGTCAATTCTTAATTCTTTTTTTTCAAGGCAAAAATGAAATCGAAATGTTTTTTGTTGTTATAGTTACAAAAAAATCCAAATTTAAAAAAGATAACGCTTGTGCCTAAAGCCTTTTTTTTGGTTAATGTAAATTACCTTTATAGTAAGGGATTATTATTATTTATATATATATATATATATATATATATATATATATATATATATATATATATATATATATATATACATACTTTATTATAGGTTGGAAAATTGGACAAGAAAATCCGATAGGCAAAAAATATGTTATCAGAAATTGAAGTAGGCTTAAAACAGGATAATGAGAAAAATTTTGGAAATTTGAGGGTGACTGCCTTCACTCAATCTCCAGTGAAAACCTCCATAGATCCGACATAAACACGCATGCGCATTAAATATATTATTAATAATATCAAACATAGAGATCGATAAATAGCAGTTTCACACTCTCACATCGATCGCCGATTATTTTGTTGACAGATCATCTGGGCGGCTAAAATATCAAGCATTCGGCTCTGGGTCCGCTGACAGAACGTTCGGAATTGGTTGACTTCCGGCGGAAGTTGCTGCAACAAAAGCGTCTGTTTGACGACTGCATTAGCCACGCGCGTTTAGTTCCTGCACTGAGAGGCTAGCATGCGAACAATATGTCGGCACACACAACCGACATGTTAGCTGGGCGTTGATGGCTGTCGGTTGCGACGAAACATAATAGTGGGATCGATGATATGACAGAGTTACAGGAAACGACAAGTGTAAGTTGAAAATGGCGGCCAGTGGTGTTGGATGAGGCGGGATATGGATGATATTAGCGTTGTAATGGTTTGGCAAGTGCAGGCGTCTGATAGCAAAAAGACAAAGCTTTGTCGATACAATTTTAAGGATGGTGTATCAAATAATGTAATGCCTTTTTTACTTTTCTTTAGGGTCGAATTTTTTTTCATTTATCAATTACTAATTCGAGGATATTTCAGATGCTTTCTTTTTTTACGTATTTGATCTTTTATTTATTTATTTTTTCAATAATGTTCAAATCTTTTGCTTTGTTTTTGAAGTGAAAACGTGAGAGAAAAGGGGTCTTTGAAGAAGCTAATGGCGCGATTACAACAGAGACGAAGTCATCGAAGATAAAAGCAGAAATGGGAGTAAGTGCTAGAATTATTTGAAGTTATTTAATTCTCGCAGTCTGTGAGTCAATCAATCAATCTATATATCTATCCCAGTCTATTCATATCTATCTATTTTTTCCTATCTATCTCAATTTGTCCATATCTTGTGGGAAATTTTTCCCGGCTTTCCCACATGAAAGGGTTGAAGTAAAAAAGAACAAAATTGAAAAAAAAATAAAGTTTTCCTTTTTTGAAAGATAAGAGCAGACAATTCTCTATTTTGAGGCGGCACTTTCAGACGGAAGAATAAAGACTCAAACACCTGCTCGGTGCGTAACAATAAAAGAAGATATGTTTAGGTTACATGCACACAAAAAAGGCATAAGGATATAGACAATTTCGAGAGAAAGAAAGGAAGAAATCTCCTTAAAGGAAGGAAAAAATGTTCATAAAAAAAGAAAAGGCTTGCTCAAAATATTTCTCTGGGCGCCTAAAACGTTCTTTAAGCGAATAGTAGATGGTTGTTAAAGGTTAAAACACTCACAGATTTGTTCAGGGTTCCTGTATAGGAGGAAACAGTCGGACAATATGAATTTCGTAGTTGAGTGAGTTCGTAGGCCGGCGACAGAATTCTTCAAGTTGCATGGAAGCAGATTTCAATTAGCTATTTGTAGTTGGCTGACGGTTTGTCTTTACAGACCAGCTGGTAGATCTTCTTTGTTGAAACTGGTTCCGAAGTTGAGTGGTGTTCTCTGTCGCCGACCTGATGTTATCACGGACGGTTGTCGAATACGTACTGCCAAATAGGCGAAATTTCCCCGTATTTATGGAGATTAGGAGACTCATAAATATCGGGGACTTTTCCCTTCAAAATTTCTATACAGATCTCCTAGTTCCATCATCGGTTAGAAAATATATTCTTATCTCTGATAAGAACCAAATTTTTAAGGAGCTGAATAAACAATGAAGAAAGGATCCAACAAAATGTGAGCGTTACCCCAGACTTTATGGTACCATGGACAATATGGTGGTGGTCAGAAAAAAATTTTATATTTCCAGCTCTCTCGTTAGTCAGAAAGAGGATAGAATTGAACTAAAAAAAATTGTCGACGAGATTCTCAAATAAAAAAAATCTATCTATCTATCTATCTATCTATTTATATATATATATATATATATATATATATATATATATATATATATATATATATATGTCCCCATGTTTTACCAATATCTATCTCCGTCTATATATCTAGTTCAGTCTGTTCAAATTTACCTCAGTTTAGTCAGACCTATTTATCTATCCCACTGTTCATATCTATCTATCTATCTATCTATCTATCTATCTATCTATCTATCTTATTATCTATCTATTTATCTATCTATCTATCACAGTCTATTCATATCTATCTATCTATCTATCTATCTATCTATCTATCTATCTATGTATCACAGTTTGTCCATATCTCTCTATCTATCTGTCTGAGGGAAAGGGGCTGTAATGTTGAAAATAATTTCCCACGAGATCAGGTAAACGCTTTTGAATTCTGTCACAGATGGAAAGTAAGCATTGGGTAGTTCCAGTTCAGATATGACATCTATCTATCTATCTATCTATCTATCTATCTATCTATCTATCTATCTATCTTAACCTGTTCACATCTATCTATCTTAATCTGTTCACATCTATCTATCTATATAACTACACGGGCGAGCAAAATTTTTGGTCACCTTGGCAAATTAAATATTGCGTGACTTTTGTTGGAGCACTTGTTTCTTCAGTTCCCACCACAAAGTTTCAATTATATTGAGATTAGGATTTTGTACTGACCAGTCTTTTCATTCAGCACAAACTTTTTTCTTGTACGTGATAAGGAGCAACATCTTGCTGAAAAATGTCTTCATTTTCGTAGTCTGACAGAAAATTAGACCGTAATAAACTAATATAATTTTTGCTGTTTAGGTTTCCATCAGTTTTTACCAATGTTCTTCTACCGTCAACTTTGATGCCACATGACATATCCACCATTAAATTCTACCATCTTTTTTGGTTTACCTTGCATCGTTTCTTTCTCCCACTAGTCTTCTTACATATTCTTTTTCATTTTCAAATTAAAAATATAGTCATGCATTTACTTTTATTCACTTTTAAAACGTCGACGAAACAATTTCATAGTTTTCATGTCGTTGAGTCGGCGATGTTGAGGCGGCGGCGTTGAGTCGGTGACGTTGAGTCGGCGGTGATAAGTCGTCCTGTAACCAAATTTCTGTTACATGTGATGAACATGATATATCCACTACCATATTCTACCGTCTTTTTGGATTATCTTTCCTCGTTTCTTTCTCCCACTAGTCTTCTTACATATTCTCTTTCATTAGAATGTAGCTCTATTTTGCATTCATTATTAAAATTACTTTTTGACACTTTCCAGTATCCTATGTTACATGTTGTTTTAACCAGTCTTTTATTCCGATATTTTTTTTAATGATGTTTTTTTCCGGCTATATATGTCCATTCAAGCCGTTTTTTTCCGTAATAATCTGCGTAGTGTATCAACTGTAACCTCAGTTAAGACTACATTCACTCCTCACCTGTCTGAACACAACACTTTTAACTCTAACTCTTAAAGTCAAGTGTCATTCATTATCTACCCCCTTCTAATAATCTTCATTACCTACTATCTCCTCTTACATTAATATCACACCCCTCATTCATTAACCTTCTACCTTGAGTAGCTCTTGAGCCTTGTGTTTGGTGAAACTTTGTAATATATACAGGGTGTATCAAAAATAATTTTACATTCTTTAAGGCGGGTTCCACACACCAAAAACAAGGGCGAGCGTTCATATAATATACAAAATATATATATATATATATATATATATATATATATATATATATATATATATATATATATATGTGTGTGTGTGTGTGTGTGTGTGTGTATAATTACATGAATCATTCATACAAAAAACAAATATAGAGGTTAATGATTTAAATGGCAAGAATACATCTTCGCAAATCATTAACCCCTATATTTGTTATTTGTATGAATGATTCATGTAATTATAAATTGAACTGCACCTATAATCGAAAAATACATATATATATATATATATATATATATATATATATATATATATATATATTAAGAAATAAACTCTTAAGGTGTGCAATATTTATGGGATAAAGTGCTGAATATCAGAGATAGAGCGTGTGGAAATATAAAAGTCAACATTGAAGTCAACACTTAGAGGCGACAGACTATTTCATGCTATATATATATATATATATATATATATATATACGTGTATGTATGTCTGCGTACGTATGAGTGGCGGTCCGACGACAATTTTTCCTCTCACTATCATAAAACACCGATATACGCAACCATAAATTAATCCAAAATTTAAAAATCAATCAGTTTGTCTGACGATTGCAGAGAGCATGAAACCCAAGGTGACAATCTCACATTAATCCAACTATATATATATATATATATATATATATATATATATATATACTTTTGACTCTTTAAAATAGCACTTACGCAACAAATAAAACAAACCAAATCCTTTGAAAATGGCTAATGGATTATCAGAAATCATTTGAGAATTTTTCTACACTCACAGAGTACCAAAAAACAATACAATTAAAAAATAACAGAAAGATTTTGTTATTCTTTTTAACTAAACATGCATAACAATGTGACTGCTACTTGAAAAATCAAACACACACACACACACACACACACACACACACATATATATATATATATATATATATATATATATATATATATATATATATATATATATATGATAAACATATCTTTTTATATATAGCAAGAACAGTATTGGGAAAATTGTATGACAAAGTGGAAAAGTTTACTTGTGACGCGTTTCGTCCTTCAGGACTTCATCTGATTAAATTTGTTTTGTTGGTCGGACTACGCATGCGCACGGCAGAGGCATGCTGGGAATTTTATAATTTTTTTTTTTATCTATATGAACTCATTTTTTCTCAGATATCTTCGCTGATTTTTAATTTTGGAATATTTTATGGGCCTTTTGTTTCGCACTGAACCTAAAATAATTAGGCAACTGGAGAAATTTTCAATGTATTTCTGCTCTTCAAAAACCCTAAATAAATTCGGTTAGATGGAAAAAAAATTCTAAAATTCCCAGCATCCCTCTGTCGTGCACATATATATATATATATATATATATATATATACACTGTGTAATCCGGATATAAGAGAGTTGTCGGGACCGGAAAAGTCTCTTATATCCGGGTTTCTCTTATATCTGGGTTTGGTCTATTTTATATACATTAACACAGGCTCTAATTTTGGACCAGAGAAAATCTCTCTTATATCCGGGTTTCTCTTATATCCGGGTCTCTTATATCCGGATTACACTGTATATATATATATATATATATATATATATATATATATATATATATATATATATATATATATATATATATATATATATATATATATATATATATATATATATATATATATATAGTTAAACCTAGAGAGCCAGACAAACCTACCTTAGTATTACTGTATTGAGCACTTTATTTAGTTATTTTGCTTACTCGTATCGGGTTTTTTTTTCTTTGGACTTTGGACTTGGATGCTTGACGATTATTTTCGGCTGACGTACATGTTCTTTGTTCTTTCTTTTTTTTATACTTTTTTTTTCCCTTTGGTATTGGTTTGATTATTTGCAGATCAATAGAGCGAAGGTTTTCCGATCGAGTATAATTTCTTATACTTATAAGATTATTACTACTATTAATATATATATATATATATAAGTGTTGACTTCAATATTCAATTTTATATTTATATTTATATACGCTCTATATCTGATATTATGCACTTTATCCCATAAATATAGCATTTTTTTTAAAACTATATTTCTTCATATATATATATAATTAGCGGGGATAACCGGCGTTACTCAAAAGGTTTCTGAATGATACGTTATTATTGATATTTATTATGGAAAATAATTATGGAAAATAATTTTTTTTCAATCTTTAAAAAATAAACATTGTTTTTTGGGATTTGTTACAAAATAACTAAATTTAGAAAAATACCACAGTTACCAATGTCACGCTCGGGTGAGGGAGTCATAAGGAGATGAGCATCCTCATATTTTTATTCAAAAACTCACTTTATTTTTCGATTTAAATTATAACATAAATACTCTTTTCAAACAAATTATTCTTAAATAAAAGTTCATTAAACCTTTTTTAAAATTATTATTAATATAAATGTTAAACTTAAATTAAGATATATTTAAAAGTATTTAATCTAATCATTTTTTTAATGCAAAAAGTATAGCGAATCTTACTTCGAAAAATTTTGACTATTTATTTTTGAGGGGAATTTAGATTTTTTTAAGTAAATAAAGTTTTACTTTTAAACATTAATTACGAATTATTTTGAAAGTTAGTAGAAGCGAGATACATTGAGAATTTAGTTTTGAAAAGCGATTATGTTTAAATTTCGAGTTATATTTGTATTTGAAAAGAAAAAAAAACTTTAGTTAAATAAAAATGAGTAGAGACAGAGATTACTTACGGTCAACATTAATCATGTTGAATATTTGTTTTACGAATTTAACTATATTTTATTTAAATTAATTTTCGAAAAAATAAGATTCGCTATAGTTTTTTGCTTTAATAAAACTTAATTGAAACTTATTTACAGTAAATAATTTTCAGTTAATAAAAAAAGTAAATAATTTACTTTTTTATGTTACAAACTAAAAACCGATGAAGTTTATTTTTTGAAAATTAAATAAAAGAATCATTTTCCATAAAATGGCCGAAATATATTAAAACAATGATCACTCGTTTATCGCGGTAGATTGGTTCCGGGACCGGCCGCGATAACTGAATTTCCACGAAGTAGGGACGCCATATTTACAGTATTTATTTAACGTGTATTTGGACTTTTAAAACCCTCCCTGTACTGTTAACAATCCACCGATTACAGTACTCTATTAATAACAAGGACAACTGTTAAGCAATAACACTTATTAATAGATTAAAAAAAAATTGTTACTGTATTCAACACGAAAAGAAGTTGAAGTAGAATTTGAATGATGATGGTGATGAATTTGCTGCACAGTAAAAAAATGATGATGATCCTCTTGATGCATTTTCTACTGTGCAGCCGATAATTGTATTTTATCTTCAGACAGACGGTACCTTTTCTATTCTATTTTACGCTTGTTTTGTTGTTCCTAGACCAGGAAATAATATTTATTATTAACGGGTTTTAATGAAAAATTTTAAGTGTTCATATATCGCGATATTTCTAGAATTTTCCAGAAACTCCACGATATATTTTCCATATATATATATTTAAAATCCTCTAAGTCGTGAATCCACGATAGTAGAACCGCGAACTCTTTCTTGAGGGATCATTGTAAGTCAATAACACACACACACACACACACACAAACGCACACACACACACACACACACACACACATATATATATATAAACACACACACACATATATATATATATATATATATATAAACACACACACACACATAAACACACAACTGCACTTTAGGGTGATATTGAGTCTGTATATTTATTTTGTAATCGAACACATATACACACACAGAGAAATATTTAAATAAATAAATATTAATCTTTTTGTCAAATTATTGTATTTAATATTCTTTTAAAATTACTTTGTTTTAATATCCATTTTTT